ACCATTGTAAGACACGATTTACACACAAACAGAGGAAAGCACGAGAAGATACAAAGGCAAAGCTATTGTAAAGGATTCGAAAAGGAAATAAAAGGTAGCATTTTCTTTTTTATTTCTTTTGCATGTGCACGTTATTGTTCTTGAGATTTGGTTTGAATAACCCAAAACTTGGGTTGCGCCGATGACCAAAATGGGTGGGGTTTCGAAGTTTCGAACCTAGATCTAACCCGAGACTTATTTTTTAAAAACCGGTTTGATTTTCGGTTAAAGGAGGGGAAGAGCTTTTTAAAAATCTATATTAGTCCATTTATTTATTATATGGATATTTTATTCATTTATTTTTATTATTCATGTTATTATATTATATGTATATATATATATATATATATTAAATTATTTTCATTTATTTTTTTACTATATTTTATTATTATATATATATATATATTTCTTTAATATTTTACTTATAGTCTAATATTACTATATATATTGTAATTATCTTTATCTAGTCATATATCTTTATATTTTTAATAGTTTATCTATATACCTATTATTAAATATATATTCTTAATTATTTTTATTTGATTATTTCTTTATTTATGTAATATATCTTATAAATTTATATTTATATTATTTTTTATTATTTTCGTTTTTTTATTCATTATTATATACATTTATTTTTTTTAAAAAAAACTTGTGTTTTTATCATTATTATTATTAAACATTATATTATATATTACTAACTTAGAGGGTACATTTTTTTGTCTTATTTCTTACTAAAGCCTCCCACTTTCGGTGAATTGGGAGGGTAGCTTTTCTATTTTTAAGTATTTGGTGTATATATATAGCTTATTTATTTTATTAATACTTTGATATATATATATATATATATATTTATATTTTTTCCTTTTTTTCAAATATTACTATATATAATTATTACTTTACTATTTTTTTTCTTATCTTACTTATTTATTTTATTTTTCCCTTATATCTTATTTGTTTTCTTTACTTGGTTTATCTAACACATTTCTCGATTTTTTTTTAAAGGATATTTTCAAATCAATCAAGGGTAAGTAATTAGGATCGAAACTTTACCTTTTAATTTAACTTGTTATTTTTCTTAATTAAGACAACTGGAAATTACGTAGTACCGAAAGGGCGGTTCAAGGGTGCTAATCCTTCCTTGACCGTAACCGACTCCCGAGCCCGACATATTTCTGGTAAGACGCAGATCAGGTATGAAATAGGGTATCCGATCAACCCATTTATTTTTAAATAAATGATCGGTGGCGACTCCAATCCATATTTTTCAAGTCGAAGCCCAATTCCGGGGCACAACCGAAAGACGGTTGCGACACATAGCAATAATTCCATCGGCTAACCCTAAACCGGCATCCCCACAATTACCATCTGCGCTTAGCAGCACGTTAACTTTTTCAAAGGACTTTTCTCATAGAAGATAGAGGCTGTGCGGGGACAGGTACACCTACCCCGAGCATTTGCTTTCTTGCTCCAAATTGACCGAATTCGAAAGCTACATTCAGCCGGCCATTGAATAGAAAAGCACATCCATTCACAATTTTAATTACTTTGGGACCCCTATCAATATTTGCAAAGGGAAAGTGGTGACCATCGTGGGATTTGGCAGTGTGCATGGTTTCTCCCACAAAGCTCCCTTTTCACTTTGTTTTTCATTGTCAAAAAGGTAATGGAAAAGTAATATATATCGGAATAATATACATCGAATATAATATATATGTAAATTTAAAAGATATAGTTGCAGAACAAATCAAACGATCTTAGTAGTTAAGGGATAATTGTTATTTTTAGAGATTCTCAGCTTGATATCTATAAGGTGTTTGAGCATTCGTTATCAAATGATTGAAAGTTATTTGAATATTTATTATGTTATAATCGTTCCAGACTAATAAAAATATAATTACATTTTTATATACTCCTCTTAATTATTATCTCTTAAATTATTTTTTAAGTATATTACACATATAACCATTTAATTATAGGAAGATTTTAGTTTGATTATTATTATTTTTTTTAATTTATCAATCATAACGTTTAATTATTTAAACAATACAGATTAATCAAATCACCTATCATTAATATTTGATGATTTTTTTTCTATAAAAAAAGTATTGGCTTAATATTCAAATAAGTGCCCAAACTATACCTTTTTCACAAATAAGTGCCTACATTTTTTTAGCTCATTCGGGTACCTAACATTACAAACATTAACACTTTAGGTGTCTGGGCCATCAACGGCGTTAGTTTTCCCCGTTAAGTGACATATGTCACAACATGGTAATTTTAAAATTTTTTATATAGAATTAAAAAAATAAAATTATATATTTAAAAAATACATAAATTTCAAAATAACCCCTAAACTTTGAAAACCTTTATGTCAACCCCTAAACCACACTAATCGCTGTCCTTTGCCGTCGAATAAGCTCCACCCGACCTCCCCTCACCCCAACAATCAAAACCCCTATGAAATCGTGATTGGTCAGGACAAATCAACATTTGAAATCCCGTGAACCCTATGATGAAAATTACAATCCCACGCGATATGCGATTCTGATGGTGAATCGGCAGTAACTACGTCGGCATATAACTAGGATAATGGCAATGACTATGTCGACGGCAGTGGCCGTGGCCGAAGAGGGCGGGGATGGATGATTAAGGTTAGGATATGGGATTTTTAGGTTGTTTTATAATATAAGAAAAGTTAGGGTTTTTTAATAAATATAATAATATTTTTAATATTTTAAAAAAATAAATTTTCAAAAATTACTAAGTTATGACACGTGTCACTTAACGGGAAGAACTAACGTCATTGACGGCCCAAACATCTAAAGTGCTAACATTTATAACGTTAGACACTCGTATGGGCAATAAAATGTAGGTGCTTGTTTAACACAGAAGATATAGTTTGAGCACTTATTTGGGCATTAAGCCAAAAATATTTGATGAAAATTTAACTTAACAATTAAAATTAATATATTTATATATTTAATCTTTATTATTTATAATTTTTTTTATCAATTTAATTTCAATTTCAGATCAATAAATTTAATTTTTCAATCGTCGATGACCCATGCCGCAAAGTACAAGTTACTCGCCCCAAATAATGAGAACTGTATTCTTAATTCTCTAGTTACCCGCACGCCAGATCCCAAAGTCAAAATTCAAAGAAGGGACACTGAACCAGGATGATATTATAACATTCTACCTCTACCGTAACTAGTTTAAAGGTGTCTTTGATCCTTGTGGCAACGCCATTCTCCCACGTTTTTGACGAATCCCGCCGTTTTGAACGCCACCACCAACCCCAAACCCGCCAGAAAAATGAAGGTGCAAGTCCTAGAAACCGCTCTCATCCGCCCCTCCGCCGCACCGTTCACCGAGGACCACACCCTCGCTCTCTCTCACCTAGACAATGATCACTCCCTCAACGTCACCTTCCGTTACCTGCGAGTTTACACCAACACCAGCGCCACCACCGATCGCGACCCTTTCCAGGTCATCCCCTCCGCCATCTCCGCCGCTCTCCACCACTATTACCCTCTGGCAGGATCCCTCCGCCGTGCCTCCAACGGTAGGTATGAGCTTTTCTGTGGGGTGGATCAAAGCCTACCGCTTGTCAAAGCCACCGTAGACTGTACATTAGAGTCTGTAAATTACCTCGAGGATCCCGACATGAATTCGATCGAGCAGTTCGTTCCCGACCCGAGCCTGGAAGAAACGATGATCAATCCTTGTACTTTACAGCTAACGGTGTTCAAATGCGGTGGCTTTATTCTTGGGGCGGCCATACATAATTCTCTCTGTGATGGACTTGGTGCCACCCAGTTTTTCTGTATGGCAGCGGATATAGCTCGTGGGGTGAACCAGGTGAAGTTTCAGCCGGTTTGGGACCGACCCAACCTGTTGGGTCCGAGGAACCCACCGAAAATTGAAGCACCGGTTCGTGAATTTCTAAGCTTAGGTAAAGGTTTCTATCCTTACAGACAGGATATCGGAAATGTTGTGAAGGAATGTTTTTATGTGGAAGATGAATGCTTGGACCAGCTCAAGGCTTTGCTTTCTGAACAAAGTGGCCTGGGTTTAACCACGTTTGAAATCTTGGGTGCTTATATTTGGCGAGCCAAGTAAGTTTTCTAATTTTCACATATTTTTTCGCTTAAATGGGTTTTCATTGTTGATGCTTAAACAGGGTGAAAGCCTCGAAGATTCAAGGTGATGAGATCGTGAAGTTTTCATATTTGATGAACATCCGCAAAGTGGTAAAGCCAGCATTGCCTGCCGGCTATTGGGGCAACGGCTGCGTCGCAATGTATGCCAAGGTCCGTGCTAAGGACCTAATCGAGCAGCCTTTGTGGAAAATGGCTGAGCTAATAAAGAAGAGCAAAAGCAATGCTAGTGACGAGTTTGTGCGTTCTTTCATCGACTTACAAGAACTGCACTACGAAGATGGCATCACTGCCGGAAAAGGGGTGAGTGGTTTCACTGATTGGAGACATTTAGGCCATTCAGCTGTGGATTTCGGTTGGGGAGGTCCGATAGCGGTGTTGCCACTCTCAACCAATTTCCTTGGGAGTATGGAGCCATGTTTCTTCCTGCCTTACGCTTCGTCGAATAATATGGGGAGGAACAAAGGGTTTAAAGTGTTGGTAAGCTTGCGTGAGACTGCCATGGCTGATTTTAGGCTTGAGATGGAGAAATTTAGCCAGAAAGAATTTAGTTAACTTTGAGCTGTTTCCTGAATCTGATAGCATTGAGCTTTGTCTTTGTTTTTCTTTGTGGCGAATTTGGCTAATAATGAATTGCTTCTTCAATGGCTCATCTGATAATCAATTAGTATTTGATTTAGTTGTGTGAAGAGTAAAACAAAGAGATGATAAGATTGACATGAATGAACAAATCTTATTTAGAATTGTTTTCTGCAATGCAAAGTTGTTTATTTGTCCACAAATCCAGGAAACTTGAACTTGGGACTCTGTTCTAGGAAAGCTGGTGGTCGCCGGTAGACCACCGAAGCAGCTCTAATCAAAATACCAGCAGTTAAACCCCATATTAAATACCTCTTATTCTTAATTTCGTAATCGAAGAAGTGAAGAAGATACTTCTCTCCCATCCATTCTCGCTCTTCCACACGTCGATTTTCGTCCTGAACAGAGCAAATCATACACGTGTGTTTTTCCTAAAAAAAGTAAAAACATGTATACGAGTCGGAGTTGAACAGAGGAACCTTAATGAACATTTCGAGTGGAGCATCGAATACCACATCGACTTCTGCAGGATTCGGAGTAGGCTTAAATGCCTTTCTGTCATGAAGAATGCCAATAACAGGAACTACTCTTAAAAGATGCTGCACGGAAAACCAATTATTTGTAACTAAGCAAAAAGCCAAAGAAGAATGTGCAACAGGAACGATTATCAAAGCCGAAACATATTCAACATTTAATGGTGAAACAGAACCAGAAGTAAAGGATCTTTTGGATCAAAGGCATGCAGTTATCATTAATTTATCATCCATCAACAGAGCATCTACTATGATACAAAGACACAATAATCCAAAACAACAAACATACAAGTACAACGTTCTTTTTGAAGGAAAAAAAAAAACAAAGTATCTATGCTTAAAGATTATGAATCCAATTTAGGGACCACAAAGGCATTTCTTTGTCAATTGCTTCACATGGAAAATTTAGATCATTTCATATCATTCATAGAAAGAACCAACAACAGTCAAACTCACATTTTGATAGTTCCCAGTAGGCTTATACAACTCAGGTTGGAAGAGCAATTACAATTACTTGATAATGATAAGAGCTATTAAATTGCCCATGATAAAATCATGCTTGGAACAGGTAGGTAGCTTATATAAACTAAATCAATCCTTTCTTTATTCCATTATCCCAGATTTCACTATCTTCCAAGATTTTTTTCTGTAAGTTTTATCGAGTTAGGGCAAATCATCCCCATCCCATGTCACCCCTTGCCAAAAATAATCATGATTTTCACATTTTACAGATAAAGGTGGAGTTAAAGGGTAACTCATAAAAGTTTAGGTGATGGAGAGGTACAGACATGCATTTAGAACGAAAAGTTTTCGAATATAATCGCTTGCTCAAGATTTTGTATTTGGTGAAACAAACTTAGGTCAATAAATTTGCTGCACGCTTAACAGTCTATCTCTCATTACATAGTAGATTCTTCTTCGTTTTTATGCTAAGTTTTGAATGCTGAGTTTTAGACACAGACATCCTAAACTTTCAACAAATATTATTATTGATAAGTATAAAAGAAAACGTCATGATCATCCAAATGAGAACTGATTCAAATCAAACTAATGCCGTTCACCAAGCAGATGAATGGTTGATGGAGATACTGGAAAAGCCAAGAAATATTTCAATACCTTAGACAGAAATGGTTCAAGAACAGTTATCACATTCACAAGGGAAGGGTCCAACCCAATCTCTTCTTTAGCCTCCCTAGTAGCTGTATCACCATCATCTTTGTCCCCCACATCTGATTTCCCACCAGGCAATGAAACTTCCCCTGCAACAAAGCCTCGAAGACACTAAGTCAATCACCATTAAGTCCACTTTTGGTGGTTACACAGAGGAAAGATAAACCAAATCACAATCTTATACATGCAAACTCCTTGACTTAAGTGAACCTAAAGCAACTAAATCACGTGAACTGAAACACACAAACTTAGGAAACCAAAATATAATGGTATCCAGCATATATTTGTTCTTCTTTCCCTTTCCCTAAACCATCAGATTCTAACTCAATCAAGGATTCAACTTCATTTTGATTTCACACCTTAATAACATTAGTTGGTTCCTAACATCCAAAAAGGAAAACGTAATGCAGTGAGCATTCTATATGTAGAAAACTAATGCTATTGAGAGAATACTTTCTGTTATTTGGCTTGAATTTTCTTACTAACCAAACAAGGGATTTTTAAAAAAAAATCACCACAGTGACCGGATGATGAAGTTAATCAAATTTTAACATTTGGATCCTAGCATATAATAAAAACATAACTTCAAGTCAATCCAGTGTGAGTCCATTAACTTTCTAGTAAAATCATCATTCCCTTCCCAAGAAATTTAAAATTTTCATTCCTCAAAATTTCCCATCAACCAATCAAAAGCTGATCCACAATCCACAATCCCAGGAGAGTAAACAATTCGAGCAAACAAAAACCAAACATTTCATTCAAACCATTAACTTCCCAATCTTAAACCAAACCAAATAGAACGAAACTGACCCGAATGACTTGATAATCTGGAAGACCTTTTGGTCAATATGACACGCAAATCCCCAGCATCCCCTTCAAAGAGACAGACCAACACAGCAGCTCTTTTGGATCTGAACTTATCCGAGTTTTGAGTGACTCGGGTAGAGGATTCTTGAAAACCCACTTGTGAAACAACTTTGTCGGCGGTTTCCTCGATGGTCCGCTCGTCGTTGTCATCCCAGGACGAAGATGGAGGCTTGTAATGACGCAGCTGCTGAGCTAACGGCAAGAGTCTCTTCGATGGTGAAGGAAAAACGTTGACAAATGGCGGAGAAAATGAAGGCAATCTCTTTAGAAGTGAGAAGATCATGAAGCCTGGTTTTGCATGGTACAAATTAGTATTACGAGGGAACAGAATTATTGACCCTTTCCTGTTTTACTGAGAAGAGAGGTTAACAGGGATGTTCAATCAAAGCGAATTTTTTCGAAAATAATTAATCTAAATTTTATAAATAATATATATTATATATTAAATATTATATATTATATATTTTTGGCTAATTCAGTTAATTAATTCGGTTAAAATAAAAATTTAAGCACACTATTATATAAATAATATATATAATATATCAAACTTTTAATAATTTTGGTTAATTCAACTAACCAACCGATTTCAAACCGTATTAACCGATAACTAAAGTTTAAAAAAATCATTAACCTAATCAACCGAATCTAAAATTAAATGAACAATTAACAGGAAAAAATTTCAATTTCGGTTAAATCAGTTTTAACTTAACTTTGAACACCTCTTAATTCATTTATTTCCTTTTTAACTTTTAGGGTAAATTACATTTACAATTTTAAGTCATTTTGACTTTGTCCACCAAACTTTTAATTTATTTTTATTATAGTCATTATCATTAGTTGTCGTTAAGAAATACTAATGTGGCACGTCAAAGTTTTCTTTTAAAAAAGAACCCAAGGTTCCAAATTATAGCCACTTCCAAGGCTAAAATTTTGATGAACAAAACAATCGTTGATTAATCTCAACTGTAAAAATGATTCGTTTAATCAAAATATTAATATAGTTTGATTTTAAGTTTATCTGATAGTGTAACATAAAAAAAAAGTTTTAACTTTAGTTTTGATGAAGACTTACTTTGAATTTGAGGAGATTAAAAAGTTTTTCAATGAGTTTGAACCCAAAAAAAGAAAGAGAAGAAAAAATATAATAGGCCGTGTCTTTTCAATTAGAGAAAACCATCGAAGAATGACAAAAACGATAGCGAAAGGAGATGATGTTCTAAAAAAAACTAAAATCTATAACTTCTTAATCCACAACTATTAACTATCTTTTCAACTTGAAATCTAACTATGTTAATCTTTTGGCCAAATAAAGCCTTTTTTGTAGGATTAATTGACAATCGCTCCGTTTATAAAAAAAATCAACTTTTACAATGACTTTCAATTTGAAAAATTAGGGTTTGGGTGGAAGAAGACTCCATATCAACAAAAAGACAGTGAATGTAATAAAAGTAAATTAAAATTTTAATGATTGTAATGTAAGTTTTAAATATTTAGTAACTAAAATGAAAGTTTCCGAAAACTTTCATGACTAAAAATGCAGTTTACCCAAAATTTTTATATTTAATGTTAATTCAACCAATATCTCTGGACTTCTGTTACAAACCCACAATTTTTTATCCTTAAAAATATATTGACTATCAAACAACAATAGATTGATTGATTTTGTACTGAATTAAATAATAGGCTTAATACACTTTTTAATGCTCAAATTATATTTCAAAATATGATTTGGTGTTTAAAGAAATTTTTTTTAATAATAGGGTTTATTATTTTCAACGTTATAATTTTATGTGTCTGAACTGTAATGAGCATTAAATTTAGTGTTACATGACACATGTCATGCATATAAAATTTCTAAAATTATTTTATTTAAAAAAAAATTAATATTATAATTTTAAAAACCAAAAACCCCAAATTTTATATCTTCCACCATCGATCGGTCGTTGTCGGTTCGTGATTATCACCGTTGACACCCTCAAAACCGTCTCGCCATCGCGATCAAAACCTAATCCCCTATCCACCATGAAATTGCGTCCATCGTCGTGAAAAATATCGCAAAGGGTTGTTGAATTTATAGGTTTTTCATTACTATTTTTCGAAGATTTTGACAGCTACAATCGTCTGTACGTTACATGACCGCCACCGTTGAATTCCTTATCATGCTCCGAACAAAACCCGACAGGTGGTGGCCCTTCACCGTCGGAGGTGAGGATGGGAGAGAGAGGGACGACAAGGGGATGGGGGTTTGATTTTTAATTTTTTTCCCTTTTTAAAAAAATAATATTTTTATTATTAAAAAATATAGCGGTAGACTTCTAAAAGTATAACAGAGAAAATTTTAGACACTTAAAAGTGTAATGGAGAAAACGTTAAATACCTATTATTAGCAAAAAAAAATTAGGCTCCAAATCTTATTTTAAAATATAATTTAGACACTAAAATGTGTATTAAGCCAAAATGATATGTTCAATCACCAATCTTGTTCTAAAAACGTTGATGGTAACATCATTGGAGGACGGTATTTCTTCATTCAATTTCTTACAGAGTTCACACGTTAACGGAATTTTATAGGGTTTTAGTTAAGAAACGTGAAAGATCGGATGGATTCGTGTTGACGATACGTATATCTTGTAGATACAATTATTTAAACTTATAACATCTGAAAAGAGTAATAATCTTCTTCTTTTTTTCTGAAGTCGCTTGATGAGTTCGAGGCGTGATACTTTTTAAATGTTTAAATTTATATTTCAAAATGAACGACTGATCATTCATGGTTTAATATGGTTTAACAGTGACATCCCGACACTCAAAACATGTCAAATCAATTTTATATGATAGGGGCAACAATACATAACGTTCAAGAGTCGATTTGTCATAAAACGATAATGTTGACAATTGCTTCGTTACTTTTTTTATTGATTATATGTTCAAAGATAACTCTCAATCATTTAACATTAAATTTTCACACTTTCAATATTTCTAGTGCTCTAACTCGAGACCTAAAAGAATAACAATAAATTTCTATAACCCTCAAATCTTAAATCAAATAAATTAAAGACAAGCACACGGAATCGGTAACCTTTCAATTGTTACAACAACAAAGGATATAAAGTGAATTAAGACTCGGTCCTTGCTCGTATTAATTAGTGAAGTTTTCTTCCTTGGGTTCATCGAATCACCGCCGTATTTGCATAACACTCCAACTTTCTTTAGTTTTAAGCGTTCAAATACAGAGAGATTAAACTATATGCTTAAATTAAGCCTTCGAATGATTAGAGCAGCCACATAAGTCAACATTAAAGCCTTAAAATACACAAATCCACTTCATTCTTTATTGTTTGAATTCCAATCCATGTCCATGAATTCAGCAGGTCGGTTGATTCAATGACAAGTTTCTTGCTGGAACTTGACATAGATGATGGGTTTGGGATAAAGATCCAAACCACGCGTATTCAAAGCTTTATATTTCTAAATCATCGGACACTCGAAGATCAAATCGATACTAAGATGGCTATGGAAAGCAGTCTCCATGCAACATATAATCAGTTGATATTAGAGAACGTATGGGCGAACTTCATCGGTGGAGAAGAAGCAACCACAAAATCAACGTCTAAATCCTGGGAAGAACTTCCATGCCTTGATGGAATAGAGGTTTCTTCGATGGGAGCCGATGCCTGGGAGGGTCTTCTCGATGGGATCATTCCTTCGGGTCAGTTCTGTAACCATGGAACGAGCAAAGATAAAAGCACCCGAGGTGTTAAAGAGAAGGCGGCCACGAGATACTTCCGGGGAGTGAGACGAAGGCCGTGGGGAAAGTACGCGGCGGAGATAAGGGATTCGTCGAAGAGAGCTCGGGTGTGGCTCGGAACATTTGAAACAGCCGAGGAAGCCGCCATGGCGTACGACAAAGCTGCTTTGAGGATTCGAGGCCCCAAAGCATACCTTAACTTCCCACTGGAGATGGTTCATGGAGCTATGGGAATTGACGACAGAAAAGGCACTGATCGATTGGACCATTGTTCGTCGAGTGCTGCTTATCAAGGTGTTGGAAATAAGCCAAAAAGGGAGGGTAGAGTCTGGGAGGAAAACGGTGAGATCGAAGAGCCTAAACGAAAGAGACCGGCGACTGGTGAAGAGGATGTGTTTGAGTTTCAGGATTTGGGGAGTGATTATTTGGAGAGTTTATTGTCTTCTTTTTAACAATTGAAATCACTCAATAAATTCAAATGATTTTAATTAATTATTTTTAAAAATCATATTCATATTTATTTTCGTATTACTTCATATTTCATACCGTAATTTGATTAATTTTCGGATTATCATATAATCATGCTGTCTCCAGTAAAGTGAATTACAGGTCCACTAAACAAACCCTAAAGCAACTTGCATTTTTATAAAATTATAATCATCATTAGTCCCAATGATCTCTTCCTTGCCCAACACTTAAACCAACAAACGCCGGCACCAAACCTACTTTACTCACCTATTTTTGTAGCCATATCCTTGCACTCGAGACAATATAACCCCCCGCCCTTCAATCATTCCGCTTTGAAGTTGGACGATCGGATTGTACCACCTTGTTAAAACCCCTCCCCTCTCCTTTTTTTCATCCTCCACCATTGAAAGCAGCACAGAAAAATGAACACTGCAAGGTTCATCAAGTGTGTCACCGTTGGCGACGGAGCGGTGGGAAAGACTTGCATGCTCATTTCCTATACCAGCAACACTTTTCCCACGGTAAATAATGATGGTAGATCGTTTAATATTTTTCATGCATGTGATGGAGTGATAACTGATAAGCAATGGCTTTTTTTCTTTTAGTTTAGGATTATGTTCCGACGGTTTTTGACAACTTTAGTGTCAATGTGGTGGTGGACGGCAGCACGGTGAAACTCGGGTTGTAGGACACTGCCGGCGAGTTGTTGAATTCACAGCTTTATCAATGGTGTGGAATGAGTTTTGTGAATTGCAGGGCAGGAAGATTACAACAGGCTAAGACCTCTGAGTTACAGGGGAGCCAATGTGTTTCTGCTGGAGTTTTCCCTGATTAGCAAGGCCGGCTATGAAAATATCCACAAAAAGGTAAGTCTGCTACCTGTCTTCTTACAGCTTTTCTTAATGTTCCATTTGACATGCCGACCGGATTCTTGACATTATGCTCCTCATGTCCCAATTGTGCTCGTCGGAACCAAACTAGGTAACATTTTCTTATCAACACATTCTGTGTTTTCAAGGAAAATTTAATATTGTTGTATCTCCTCTTCAAACTGCACATTCATTGTTAATCGTTTGTATAATCTTCTTTAGATCATTTACTCTCTACCTCCTCCGTAGAATCATCGTATGCGATTTGTCCAAGCTAGAATGAGTGAACTGTCATCGTATCCAACTTTGTTGATGTACTCAGCCTGTGATAACATCAAAGTCCCCGACTTTGTGTCTCTCTTGATCCTCATCCCAAGAATCTGCTTTGCAGCGCCCAGATCCTTCATAGCTGCTTCGACAATTTTTGCTTCAAGTGTATAATCTCTTGCATGTCTGAGCCTGCAACGAGCATGTCATCAACGTGCAATAATAAAATAATGAAGTTGTTGTCGAACCTCTTGATGTAGCAACAATGATCTGCTTGGCATCTGATAAAACCACTGCTACTCATGAAGCTATCGAACTTCTTGTACCACTGTCTAGGAGCTTGTTTTAAACCATACAAGCTCTTCTTCAACCTGCATACCAGGTTTTTCTTGTCTGCCTCTATGAAGCCTTCTGGCTGCCTCATATAGATTTCTTCCTCCAAATCACCATGAAGGAAAGCTGTCTTTACATCTAACTGCTCAAGATGTAAATTCTCTGCAGCTACAATTTTCAACACCAGTCTGATTGTAGACAATTTTACGACTGGAGAGAAAATTTCATTGTAGTCAATACATTCTTTTTGCTGAAAGCCTTTGACAACCAATCTTGCTTTGTAGCGTTTGCTCCCATCGTGCTCTTCTTTGATCCTGTAAATCCACTTGTTGTGGAGCGCTTTCTTGCCTGGTGGTAATTCAGCTAATTCCCATGTCTGATTTGACATAAGCGAGTCCATCTCATCTTTCATGGAAGACTCCCACTTGACTGAATCCTCCACTTGCATTGCTTCATCATAGCACTCTGGTTCACCATTGTCAGTCAGCAACAAGTAGTGTAAAGAAGGAGAATACCGTTGGGTTGGTTTAGGAATTCTGGAGGAGCGTCTCAGTTCTGGTGTGCCTGGTTCTTCTTGAACTGCTTCAGGATTGATCTGAACATCATTTCCAGAAATCTCCTCGAACTCAGCAAATTCCTTTGTTTCAGCTTCGGTATTACTTGATTCTGCGGTTGACCTATCTTTGTACATCACATTTTCATTCAAAATGACGTCTCTGCTTCTGATGATCTTTCGATTTTCGTAGTCCCAAAACCGGTAACCGAACTCATCACCACCGTAACCAACAAAGACACATTTGTTGGACTTGGCATCAAGTTTACTTCTTTCAGCAGAGTTTATGTGTACATAAGAAATACAACCAAACACTCTTAAGTATGAAAGGTTTATTTCTTTCTTGCTCCAAGCTTCCTCTGGTATTCCGCCATCCAAAGGAACTGAGGGCCCACGGTTGATCAAGTAAGCTGCAGTGTTGATAGCTTCAGCTCATAGAAATTTGGGCAATCCAGCATGTATCCTCATGCTTCTGGCACGTTCATTCAGAGTTCTGTTCATGCGCTCTGCTACGCCATTCTGCTGCGGTGTTATGGGAACTGTTGTCTCCATCTTGATCCCTTTGTTTGCGCAGAAATCTCTGAATCTACTGTCTCTGTATTCTCCTCCATTATCAGACCTCAACCGCTTGACTTTCAAACCAGTCTCATTTTCTACCATGGCCTTCCATTTTCTGAAGGTATCAAAGACTTCTGATTTCTTCTTCAGAAAATAAACCCACACCTTCCTTGTTGAATCATCGATGAAGGTGACATAATATAGTGAGCCCGCAAGAGATGGAACTGGGGATGGTCCCCATACATCAGTATGAACCAACTCTAACCTTTCTGCCTTGGGTGTCTTGCCAATCTTTGCAAAACTGACTTTCTTTTGTTTGCCAAAGATGCAATCCTCGCATAGTCCGACATCTACATTCTTTAGATCCGGCAGCTTCCCTTTTGACAGAAGTATCTTCATTCCTTTCTCGCTCATATGGCCAAGCCTTTGGTGCCATAGGTTTGATTTTCCATCAGCATCTGCTACTGCAATGATATTCTCTAAATTTGAGGTTACATAGAGAGTACCAGTCTTCTTACCACGAGCAATGACGAGTGCTCCTTTGGTAATCTTCCATTCACATCCTGAAAATGTTGTGCTATATCCTTCTCCATCAAGCTGTCCAACAGAAATCAGATTTCTTTTGAGGCCAGGAATATGTCTCACTCCTGTCAGCTTCCAGGTGGTCTGGTTTGGCAACTTTAATCGGATGTCTCCTTTTTCGACGATCTTTAAGGTTTCATCATCAGCAAGATGAACCTTCCCAAAATCACCACTGACATAATTCTCCATGATTTCTTGGTATGGGGTGGAGTGGAAAGATGCCCCTGAATCGAAGATCCATGATTCAATCGGACTGTTGACGCTTAGAATCATGGCATCACCTGTCTCCTCTGTCACGTTAGCAGATTCCTGTGCACCGGTATCTTTCTTCAGTGCTCGGCAATCTCTTTTGAAGTGACCCTTCTTGCCGCAATTATAACAGGTAAAATCTTTATTTCCTGTTCTTGATTTGCCCCTTCTAGATTTTGATCTGCCACGATTTGAAAATCTTTCTGAAGTTCTCCCTCTAGACTCCGTGTGTAAGGCTGAGGAGGTTGATGCTTCACCCGATTTTCTTCGTCGAATTTCTTCACTCAATACCAGATCCCGAACATCGTCGAATTTTAATTTGCTGTTTCCCGACGAACTGCTGACTGCTGTAACAGTAGCATTCCAACTGTCTGGTAGAAATGATAAGAGAATTAAAGCTCGAACTTCATCATCGAACTCAATTTCCACTGAACTCAACTGGGTTGTGATTGTGTTGAGTTCATTTAGGTGTTGTGCCACCGATGCCCCTTCCGCCATCCGTAAATTGAATAACCGCCTCATCAAATGAACTTTGTTTGAGGCCGATGGCTTCTCGTACATACTGGAGAGAGCCGCCATAAGACCCGCCGTGGTCTTTTCCTTTGCTATATTAAAAGCAACATTGCGGGATAACGTCAGTCGGATAACTCCGAGGGCTTGTCTGTCGAGAAGAGCCCAATCTTCATCCTTCATGCCCTCTGGTTGCTTTCCTGAGAGAGGTTGATATAGATTTTTCTGGTACAAAAAATCTTCAATCTGCATCTTCCAAAAGCCAAAGTCCGCACCATCGAACTTTTCAATTTTCACCTTCCCTTCGTCTGCAGCCATCGCTCCCACTCGAATCTGGCTTCGTTTGGATCGTTTCTGACAATTCTTGCGAATCACCGTGTATTAGAACACCACCGTCGACAAACTCGTATCGCCGACTGAATTTTACTATTCACAAAATTCACTATTCATGTGAATAGTAATGAATAGTAACCTCGCAGAAAATTTGACAAAATTCACAACCAAAAGCTCTGATTACCAGTTGTTGGGAAAAATAAACCGAGTACAAGTAATTTCCCTATAACCAGATTAGTGAGAATACGAAATAAAAGCGGAAAAATAATACCCGAAAATTGATAACGGAGTTCAGCCAATTGTGCTTACGTCTCCGGGCTGCTGCAGATCTTTTACTAAGAGAGAAAATTTACAGGTGTTTACAAAACACTCACTACTCACAAGAAAGCTCTCTAGTATAGGAAGAAAGAAATGTTTTAGGATGATTTTGAAGCTAAATGGGTAAGGGTATTTATAGTAGAAACTTAGGGACTAATCTTTGAAAATACCCTAAAGTGCAATGACTAAAGTGAATTTACCCATTCCTATTTTCAACAAACATCTACCAAAATTTTACCAAACTTTGAAAAACATTTTTCAAAGAAACATTTACCAAAGTTGGTTGCCAAACTTTGAAACTTTTAACACTCCTCATGTCCCAATTGTGCTCGTCGGAACCAAACTAGGTAACATTTTCTTATCAACACATTCTGTGTTTTCAAGGAAAATTTAATATTGTTGTATCTCTTCTTCAAACTGCACATTCATTGTTAATCTTCTGTATAATCTTCTTTAGATCATTTACTCTCTACCTCCTCCGTAGAATCATCGTATGCGATTTGTCCAAGCTAGAATGAGTGAACTGTCAAACACCATTACGACTCCATTTCTCCCATCCACGAATATAAGCCATATGTTCTACATTTGATTCTACCCAAATGCAGATTTGCGAGATGAAAAGCAGTTCTTGAGTGATCATCCAGGAGCAACAGCAATAACAACATCTCAAGTATGCTTTCGAAAATCAAACATAGTCGTGTCGGACACATAATCATATCCGAATCTCTAATACATGTTGGAAACTCTGGTGAGCAGGGTGAGGAGCTAAAGAAGATGATAGGAGCAGTTACCTACATTGAATGCAGCTCCAAAACCCAGCAGGTACCCTATTTCCAAAAATCCAAAACCATCTCAATAGCAATCTCCTAATATCTGCTAATCTTTGAAAGGCTCAACTCTCCCATTTGTTCAGAACGTGAAGGCTGTGTTCGATACAGCAATAAAGGTAGCTTTGAGGCCACCAAAACCAAAGAAAAAGTCTCACAAGAGAAGATCATGTCTTTTGCTTTGAATTGTCAATCAGTCAGCATTATGGATCAAAAACTGTCTGCAGAAACAAGTATTATCTGCTATACCATTTCACCATTGATTTTTTTTTTACATAAATTCCATATGAATTTATATACACGAAGGATATATATCGATTAAAAGTTTGTGATCATCTTTTTCAAGTGACGGACGTTCTTTGTAATTTTCTCAGTAATAATTTTTATTACAAGTTTTATGTGCAGTGTACTATACAGAAGACTGTTGCGGAATACGGTTATCGGATAGAGCAAAATCGTAACTGATAATTTGAGAAAATAAATATAAAGAAGACACAAATTTTACGTGGAAACCCCTTAAATAATTTAGGTTAAAAACCACGGGCAACGGTAAAAGAATTTCACTATGAGAAAATAGGAATTACAATTTCTCTCAATCTAACAATGAGAAAAACAACAACAATTCTCTCTTGATAAAAAAGAGAAAACAATTCTCAAAAAACTCTCTAAATTATCTAGTATTGGGAGAAAGCCAGAATGATTTGAGATGATTTTGAAGTTAAATGGGTTAGGGTATTTATAGTTAAAGCTTAAGGACTAATCTTATAAATACCTTAAAGTACATAAATTAAATATGTAATTTTACCATTGTCAATTTTCAACAATTTCTCCTACCAACTTTGAACCCCCGAAAGTTGTAGCTTAATTTGACAATTTAAGCTGCCATTATTTTTTACTTTTAATACAGGCAGTGTTGATTAGGGGCGTGCAAATCCGGGTACCCGATTTCCGGGTATCCGAAATTTTCGGGTCGACGATTTCTCGACCCGTATCCCGACCCGGATGTTACGGGTATCCGGTAATCGGGTACCCGATACCCAGTTTTTAATGTTTTATTTTCAAATTATTAATTTAAAAAAATATATACACAAATTTAAATGTTCGAAATTTCGAATTGCATACTCTAATATCCGAACATAAAATTTAAAAGTTCAAAATACAAAATATAATAATACATAATATAAATAATTCATTATATTTTATATAATTATATATAAAAAATAAAAACTAACCGGGTACACGGGTAATCGGGTACCTGGAAAAACTAGATTTTGTGACCGGGCCCGACCCGGGAAATGTAGGGCCGGGTACCCGACCCGGCCGGGTAATTTTTTTTAGAGAATTACCCGGTTTTTTTAGATCCGGGTCGGGTCAACCGAGTCGGATAATTTTGCACACCCTTAGTGTTGATATATAATTCACTATATACGATATCTCATTTATCCCAAAACACGATATGTATACTAAAACAACTGTATATCACTCTAAAATAATTTATAATTCTATATCATAATTTTAAAAGCTAGAACATACAATCTCTTTATAGAGATAAATACTTGGTTTAATTATTAAGTATTATTCAAACCCTAAAATTATAATGAGATCTAATTTGATTTTTAATTGGAATTTGAGTTAATATTTAATAATTAATCTAATTTATTGAATAAAACTAATCGGTTAAAAGGAATTGAAATTTTAACTAACACGCATAGGTTAAGGGATCATTGCATATACTATTTTTTTAAATATATTCTCAGAGATTATATCCGATTATATTGGCTGTTCATCAAGTTTAAGAATTTAACCCTGAATGGAGGTAATATATATATATATATATAAAATAAAATCACACGGCATTGTTACCAAACAAAACGAACCTTTTTGGCCTCCAAAATCACGGGAAAAGTGGAAACTCACCCCAGCTGTTCTAATATTAGCCATTGGCCTCAAGCGTTTAGCTGTATCTCTCGTTCTTCAGGGTTTTCCAAAACCCAGAATCCCAAAAAAAAATGCCAGCTTTTACAAGTAATTTACCCAAATAACAAGCGAAAACAATCGAAACAAAAACAAAGGGCGTTTCTTTCTTCCCTTTCTTGTTTTGTTTTGTTTTTGTGTTTCTTTTTAAATATACTTTTGTTTGTCGATTGAAGACAGCATCGGAGAACACAAAAACAGGGAACAGGAACAAGAGGAGAAAGAGGCGAGAGAGAGAGAGAGAGAGAGAAGAGAAATGGGATATTACAGAGCTGATGAAGAATATGATTACTTGTTTAAACTGGTGTTAATCGGGGATTCTGGTGTTGGGAAATCCAACCTTTTGACTAGATTTACAAAAAACGAGTTCAGTCTCGACTCTAAGCCTACCATTGGAGTTGAGTTTGCAACTCGCAATATTCATGTCGATAATAAGGTTGTTAAAGCTCAGATTTGGGACACTGCTGGCCAAGAAAGGTATTCCTTTTTCTATTCATTTATTAGAGAAGATTTTGATCTGGGTTTCTTTTGTTGTTGCTTCATTTGGGGAATCGGGTGATTTTCTTTGGTGTTTTCTCCCTGCAAAATAGGGGATTAATGGTGTTTTTTTCTAATCTATCTTCTTCCTTTTGGTGTAGGTATCGTGCAATAACCAGTGCATATTACCGTGGGGCTCTTGGTGCTTTACTAGTCTACGACGTTACCCGTAATTTTACATTTGAAAGCATAGAAAGGTGGTTGAAGGAACTCAGAGAACACACCGATGGCAACATTGTGATTATGTTGGTCGGAAACAAGTCGGACTTGCGCCACTTGCGAGCGGTTCGGACAGAGGACGGCAAGGCTTTTGCTGAGAATGAGAACATTTATTTCATGGAAACATCTGCACTCGAGTCTCGCAATGTTGAGAATGCGTTCGCCGAAGTGCTGACCCAGATGTATCATCTTGCTAAGAGGAACGCTCTTGAAGTTGGAGACAACTCGGCAGCTTTGCCGAAAGGCCAAACGATCAATGTTAGATCGAACGACGATGTGTCGGCCATGAAAAAAGCCGGATGTTGCTCGTCTTAACCGCGGGCTTTGAAAAATTTATGCCCGTTGTTCATGTCTATGTTTTCATTTGTCAATTTCACACAATGCTTTAAGTGATAAACCCATCGTAACTGTTGCTTTTGATGATATGCCAAAATGAAAGATATGCTTTGAGCTTGTGAACCATCCTCTCTCTCTTAAAATACTTGTTCGATACTCATCGCATATATTCGGGTATAAAAACAAGATATAGCCCTCCATATCCAACGCTTGCATCCAAGTTCAAAATCCAAATAGATAGCAAACTTTGGAGACTGTAACAAATATGCCTAAAAGAAAATTTACACCACAATCTATAACAGGATAGATCATCAGTGAACAAATGACCTAAAAAAACAACACAAAATCTAAAGACTCCATTTTTCATCAATATCCAGTCACACTTTGTAGCTCAAAAGGACACCATAATCTCTTCTGGTTTCAGTGGTTTTTCTTATTGAACAAAATGGCCTCTCAAAAAGTTCACTCTGGATCAAAGTGTAAAAACAAAGATATTCAGTGTCTATAAAGAAACAGATGGGCAAAATTCAGATGAAAAAACAACTAAAGTTAGGGCCAGACGGCAGTAAAAATGACGCCCTTTGAGCTAAATCAGCATGTTTTACAACACCACTCCTGATTCTGCTCTTGACCAATTGTTCTACAACCCAAATTTAGGTGGATATCATGAATTATGAAATAAAGCATATTAGCATACAGTACTATCAGAAAGACTGGAAACAAATTTTGAGATAGCTTGGTCACACTTGGTCAGCCGAAAGCATTGCCTGATCAAGTATGGTGAGGTGGATTTCTAGAATCTGCTGTGGTTATGCTGTGTTGTAATATGGCTATAGCAAAAACCATTGCCAGACTATTATGTCTTTAGGGCTTTTGTTGTTTCTTTTAAGCATTATGTCGAACACTTTCCGGGCATTATAGTTCCAATAACCATTAATAGCAAAAGTGGGAATATCTGAAATAAAAATAAACCTTGTAACCAGGTTTTAACTTGTAATTCCAATTCAAATAATATATTACAAAACCCAGTATCCAACATATCAAATCACATTCAAAGCTCAAACAAACTAGTAGTAGAATCAAGACTACAAAAGGAAACCTAATTCAAGCGCTGCAGTTATCCACTCAAAAACCCAAAATAAACCCACAGAATAAAAAGCAACCAAGAACTTTCCAGAAGACTGATGAAGGTCGGAAGATCACTTTGGGTGGTCATTTTTTTGAGTCGGAGTTGAAAGAGGGAAGGGGATTACAGCCTTTGATGACCCAACCGAGGGCAAAAAACGAAACCCCAGCAAGAATTGCAGTTCCCCAGGCGTGGGAGTACCATCGACTGTACTGCCTGATGGCATACCTCCATTGATCTCTGAGTGTAGAAGGGTCCGGGTTTGATAGGTCGGGTGGGTTCGGGTAACGGAGCTTTTGATGGCCCGAAAAATCGAAAGTCCTGTTGTTTCCGATTTCTGGGATTGATTTAGGCGGTGGGTTCCGATGGGATTCGGGTTTCGGATTTTCCGACATGATCACTACTTTACGACACCAAATATTTCTTTGAAACAAGCAGGGGAATCCGAAGATCGAAGACTCGAGTGAACCCAACTCAATCACGATTTTGTTTTAGGTAAACAAATGCAATGATCTGTTTTTTTAAGTAAAGCTTTGATCTTTGGATATAAATTTGATACAAGTATTTTATTTTTACCTCTACTTTCTCAAAAGAAAATCTTTTTCTTACTTAACCCTATAAATAATTACCACAGTTTCCATTTGTAACCAGATAACTACCACAAGTTTGGAATCGTATTTTCTACGGAATTCTGTTCATCATATACGTATAAGGAGAAATACAAGTGTTCTCAAACTTCAAACCAAAACTGTTGGTAACAACAGAAAAGCACCTGGATTATAAACTTTATTACAATGAGCTCTCATCTTATAAACCAAACCAAGCAATGATCATTGGATTGGCCTAGCCAATGCAAAGCAGGTATCGGGGTTAACCGACATCAACAACTCGATTACAACAATCTCATTCGGAAGTTTGATATAAGACGGGGTTCAATTATACCTGCTTGAAACATACAAAACATGAACATATTACCCAAGCCAACTAGCAACAGGTTACATTAGAGTAATACGTAAGAAATGTAAGATGTTCTCACCAGGGGAAAGCTTCTTCCCACCATGTAGCTCTTTTGTTAAGGGGTTAACAGCCCAATGATTGACAACCACCCGACTTGTAGGTTGGAACCCAACTATTTTCCCATCTGTTGATAAAACCACCTAGATGCCAACCTAAGGGACAAACAAGCATATTAGAATACAGGATGCCATTGCATGGCAAGCTAGATCACGTTTTAATTGAGATCCGAAACCTAGATTGCAACCATTTTTCAGTTATAGTTGCCAGCAAAGGCAGTTTTTCCACACAAGATAAAGCGTCGGTGACTAATACCAACTTAAGCTTGATCGCACTTTCTCACTTCTCCCTCTTTTCTTTCTGATACCTAGTATATAGCTAGAAAGCAAACGGAAAATAAAAGGAAAAATTTAAACCAAGGAGTTTACCTGATAGCTAGCAATATCCTGGACTGATGACTTTATATCATCGTCCATTTTCTCCATATCAGCAGAATTAGTCGAAGCTTCACTGTCAGAATTTACTTGATGAGGTGCTTTCAAGTAGTATGGTATTTCACCAATCCGGGCACCAAGATTGGTTTCTGTTGCTATGTCATCAGGCCAGCCAAAAGCATCCTTAATCTTTTGGATTACCAATATACAAAATGTCCCCAACTATCCATATGAAGTCAATGTATCAGTTGTTACATCAAATGCAACTTTTGTTAGTGATAATAATAATAATAATAGAATATAACAGAAAAGACAAAAGAGAACTGAAGTTTTAACATTTTAGACAGTCAGAAATAGGATTGAAGTACACGTCCTTCCACAAAGAGCAGTAGATCATGGATGGAATGTGTTTTAAATCTTGGGACTGTGTCTTGAAACTCCACCCTTTTTGGTAGTTACTTTTCTAAGCATGGTTCATGGCCTTCCTCAGAGTTTCTCTTCTCCGATGATTGGGTATTTTAGCTATTAATATTGTTTGTTTCCTCTTGTTACTAATCTTGCTTCAATAAGATTCCCCTTCGGTCAAAAAATAAAAAGGGGCTCTATAAACTGCATTCCTAAATCACAAGAATCTTTTGGCAGTGAAGAAAACATGTATAAGGTAACAAAAACTCTAAAAACATAGCAAATTTATAGGGAAATTGTTTGCCTATTCTAATCTTAGTATTAAGTTACCGAGCATGGATACAAAAACAATTACACAGACAACTGACAATGAATTAGTAGAATGCTACATACATAGTAACCACAGTGTTATCGCACCTTTTCAGTGTCTAGAGATTCAATTGTTGTATGCTCGGTAATTGATGACGATGGAGACCTAGGTCCTCCAGGCCTCTTTCCACCTTTGCCTAGCTGAGGAAAACTAAATTGACTGAGAGTACTGATGGTAATGAGAACAATTCCACCTGCAACTGTGGCAGTTACTACTTTCAAGAAAGATGAGCTCCTCTATAAGACAAGGCCAAACACCTCAAAATGAAAAATCCCACAAAATAAGTGAAAAACTTCACAAAACTCAAATATAGAATATAGTTCGCAAAATATTAACTATTTATATTGAAAATTTTCGAAGAGATTGTTTCAAACGTCCTTGATAAGTCTAGCCAGTACTGGGTTTATTAACACCTCCTGTCCAAGCATTATCAACAATTTTACACATACTTCCACAATAAAAAGCTTTGAAACTTGTTTAATATTTACTTAGCTGATTTATTAAATTGCAAATGATTTTCAGTCATCTCCCATCTTAAAATTTCTAAACACCAAATACTGGGAGCTCTGCCTATGGGAAAACTTAAGATTAATAGAACCAAACAACAATAAAGCTTCAAGCTTAAACATTTCAATACCTTTGCTTTGGACAAGCTGTTGTAAATGGAAATCATACCAGAGTGGAGTTGTTTCATGGGCAGTGTGTAGACATCTTCATAGTTCATATCTAATATATCAGAGCCAGTCCAACCTACAAATTTTTGTAAGCTAGCATCAAAAGGATAAGGTGAATATGCCATGAAATAATGCATGGTATAAAACTGAACAAAACATTAAAGTACACCTTAATTATAAAAAAGCACTATAGATGACATGCAAATCAAAAGAAGAAACACAGAAGGAAGGAATAGAGTACCATTTGGGAGTGTGTCAAAAGAACTTGCCACTTATTCTCGTCAGATTCTCTCCATCCTTCAAATTTTACACGCTTAAGTGCACTTCCATATAGGGGTGTGTAAAATTACCTGACCCAGTTGATCCGACCCGTCGACCCGGATCTAAAAAAATCGGGTAATTCTTTAAAAAAATTACCCGGCCGGATCGGGTACCCGATCCGACATTTTCCGGGTCAGGCCCGGGTCACAAAATCTAGTTTTTCCGGGTACCCGGTTACCCTAGTACCCGTTAGTTTTTATTTTTTTATATATAATTATATAAAATATAATGACTTATTTATATTATGAATTATTATATTTTGTATTTTGAACTTTTAAATTTTATGTTCGGATATTAGAGTATGTAATTCGAAGTTTCGAACATTTAAATTTGTGTATATATTTTTTTAAATTAATAATATAAAAATAAAAAATTAAAAACCGGGTATCGGGTACCCGATTACCGGGTACCCGCAAAATCCGGGTACCGAATTACTGGTACCCGTAACATCCAGGTCGAGACACACGGGCCGAGAAATCGTCGACCCGGAAGTTTCGGGTACCCGGTCCGGGTACCCGGATTTGCACACCTCTACTTGCATCTATTTCAAGCCGATATGCAGGTATAAACTCACTTGTCCAAGCACTAAACTCATGACCACCAATCTTTTCCATCTTAGACTGCAATGGTTGAGACCACCAATAGTTTTTCCGCCTCAAATCCATACCTTTGAAACTCTCTTTACTCGCATTAAAACTGTCAAGAAGACTTTGCATTTTGAACTATCTCATCTTCAAACACTTTATATATAACAACCGAGGAATCTTTTGATACGACCCTTTTCGATTTCCGAAACCAGGCAAAGAAGATAGAGGGAGTTTTTCCCAATAAAT